TTATGGTGCCTTGATTTCTAATGAAGAGTGACCCGTGAAGGTTTGGGTTAGAATATTGGCCTTCAGTAACCCATGCTTGTCGTAAGAGGCGACTAACGGGATCGGGTGGTCAGGCTCGCTGACTTGGTTGACACATGTCATCGGTTCCCATCGGTGCAGATCGATGCTCATGCTGTTGATCACTGGATTGTCTGGTCCAGGCTCGATTATTTACAAACCCCACATATAGCTGGAATATTGCTGAGTGCGGCGGAAAACTAAACTCACTTAATCACTCTAATGAAGAGTTACCTTATGTGTGTCTTAAATGGCAAGCGTCTTTTGCTAATGATACTTTTGACTGGAATAGGATTCTTTGACTTACAAATATGGTTTGAAAGATGTCAAGCTACTTGATTTCCAATTCAAGTTTTTACATGGCATTATCTACACTAAAAACAGAGTTGTTTAAAATGAAACGTGTTGCCAATCTAATTTGCTGTTTTTGTAATGAGCTGAATCAGAGTATTTGTCATGTTTATTGGGGATGTAGAGAAACACAAACATTCTGGAACAAACTTGAAGTTTGGATGAACAATCATAAATAACTGAGAACACAATTGAAATAACAAAATACCTTGTTTGGTTTTTAACATTATACGTTGATAGATTATTGAATCATATTATCTTATCTGCGAAAAATTTATCCTTTTATGTGGGATTAAACAACATGCTCCAAAGCTTCAAAACTTTTAGTTGTTTTGAGAGACATTTTTAATGTAGAAAGGTTCACTGCAATTAAAAATAACAGCCTTCAGAATCATGACAAAAAATGGCTATCTATATTCCAACTCAGCAAGAAACTTAGACTCACTACTGGTATATATTCTTGAATTCTGTGTGATAGACTCTGGAAATGTGAATTGTTGTATAATTGTGCACTCTTGGGTACAATAAAAACTATTTTTTTTAAAAAGAAGAAAAAAAAAGTTGAAGATAAAGACGTCACGTCGGTGAAATAGTGATTACCGTCAGACGGAACCTGTATCGCCGTCAGCTTCATTGTCATAATGAAAACAGTGGTTGGGAGGATTTACCTCCTCCTTCATCATGCATTGTCCCTGTGATATTCAAGTGACTGGCAGTATGTTGTAGCGCACTTTGAACGCCTGTAGGATACCATGAGATAACAGATACTCCATCGGTTATGCAACTGTCTGCCGTCTGTACATACTGACCGATATTCACGGCATCGCAGTGACTGAGTGAGTTTAGTTTTACGCCGCACCCAGCAATATTCCAGCTATATGGCCACGGTCTGTAAATGATCCAGTCTGAACTAGACAATCCAGTGATCAACCTGAGAATGGACATGTGTCAGCGAGCCTGACCACCCGATCCCGTTAGTCGCCTCATGCGACAAGCATGGGTTCCTGAAGGTCAATTCTAACCCGGCTCTACACGTCTTCACGGGTCTCACGAGAAGAGAGAGGGGGCCATGATAAGAAACAATAACAGCCATTACTTGATTTTAGGTCATCCGTACTTTATGACTTTCCCATCTCCAGCCTCAACAGGCAACAGAAAGAGGGGTGGTGGTGGAGGTGGTGTATGTGTGTGGGCGTGTTTGGTGTGTGGGGTGGTTGTGTGTGTGAGGTGGGGGTGTGTGTGGGGTGGGGGTGTGGGTACTTTGTGTGTGCGTTTAAACTTAAAATATAATGCGACTGTTTGATATTAAGGGGGTGGGTTGTGACCAATATAATGGGTGAAAGGCACGGGTTAGGGGAAAAGTGTATTTGGGGGTGCATCAACTAAAATAATGTAGGGGTAATTATTTACCGAGGTAAGCTTGATTGTCTATGATTAAAATTGGGTCTGACATAAACAAACTGTTAGTCCAGGCAAACTCTGACGTGTCGGAGCGAGAGGGGATATTTAAGTTCACAGAGGTATCAGAGATTCGACACAGAATTTGATGGATATAAGTAATACTTTTAATTCGAAACAATCGTAAGTTCACCACATCCAAGTTTGAGACAACGCATTAACTTGAAAAACAGATCGTGTCTAAAACACCAGTCCTTTTCCAAAATATAGTATTCGGGCCCACTGTGAACTACGGCACCCTACTGACCCGGTCTGCTGTGACCTTTCATGTGAGAGGTCAGACGAGGTCATTGTTTGCTCGCACTTTTAAGGAGATAAGAGAAGGTTAATATCCCGTGATTGTTACAGGTAATCATGCCTCTTTGTATCAGTTGCCATGACTATACCACGTTGTGCAGACACATCTCACCTGTGTTCATTGCACCCAGCAAATATATGTATATACCACCTTCGTTAATCCGGGCGATTATGTTACCATTGAATTTGTGCGGATTAACAAATTTCTGCATTAGTAAAGTGCTGGTTTGTGTATGTTATGTCTAATGTGGCTTCCCTGTTACCAGTGTTTGGTTGGTTGGTTGGTTGGTGTTAAACGTGGCACTAAGCAATAGTCCAGCTGTATGGCGGCGGTCTGTAAATAATCCAGTCTGGAGCAAACAATCCAGTGATTAACAGCATAATTGCTGCCCATGGTGACTTGACAAAATACTAACTGTTCACCTGTCGTGGCGTTAAATATAATGTATTTCTTTCAGTAATTTCATGTCTAGTCCTCTGTTAATAATCATGCAAAATTAGTCAAAATACATCAAACAGAAGAAGAAGGGAATCTAAGAACTAATTTACTTATTGGATAGGGACATGCAAATTGCTATTCTGTGCTGTCTCATGTAATACGATGTCACCTTTTTTCATGATTTGTGATACTACCAAAACGAATCCGGTCACATTGGGAATCTTTGTATTGGAATAGTTTGGTTCACCTTGAACAAAACAAAACGAAAATATAGCGTCCGAATCCACAACATATTCTCTCCAAGTGATCTGAGCTACAATGACCTACTGTTAAGCATAGCGCAGTTATGCCCCATTATCTCTATACGGGCACGACCTCTCTGTCGTCGTTGACGTCATAGAGGAAAATCATTTTCGAGTCAGTATTAAAATTGAGCGTATATAAGCTCACAAACCCATTCCATATATATAGTTTACTTATGCTGTTCAGATATCAGGTGGGGCGGTGGGGAAGCATAAATAATTTTCATGAAGTGAGTTTAGGACGGATCTTTGTAAAATTTGACAATCAAATTTGAAATCATCTCTGCTCTACGCACGTAATTTCAGTTCAATTGTCCGACCACTATTTAACTAAAGACATCGCATTTATAAACTTACGTACGGTTCCACAATGCACAATCCCGTAGGCCTCCATGTTAACCCCCTTGATGCCGAGTATTTTTTTCGCCTTAGTGACCCCCTTTTCCCTACACTCGGTGGCCCTGCGTCCAGCTTCCTTTTGAGCTCCGTCGACTGTCCCCGTCCTACTAGCCTTCGGACCTTTTACAAGCCGGTGGCCCAATGCCGCCTTTCAAGTTGGAGGCATGTGTCCTTGTCGCTGTTGCTTGCAAGGCAACAGAATGAAGGGACGGTTGATTATGATATAAATGACGTCATAAACGCGATAGTTAGTGACGTCATAGAAACAAATGACGTACAGTTATGTACAGTTACCAATAGTCTGTCCGGCGCTGACCATAACTTGATTTACTTAAATTGTGCTAAATCGAATTAGTGTATTTTTAATGAAGAGTCTACACCAAGGTACAGAATCCCTCCGATGCTTTTTTTTCAATCGATTATATCAAATGTTTAATGAGTATGAAGCAATGAATTTCGACTTAGTATCTACAAAGTTCAACCTACAAAACATTAAATGTCAGCTTGAAATGAAAGCTGGCATATCAACACATTTTCAAGAATAATGGCCCTAAAAGGCTTCCGCACCGGAAATATGTCATCAGTTCATTATGTTACGAGAGTGTTTTTTGTAATTTGTAATAACATTGGTTAGGTGATAATAATTATGAGTCACAATGTTTAAAGTGTTGGGTGTTGGTTGTGGGTCACATTTCACGTCATATATGTTCAATGGCAATAGTATTTTTAGCGGCACGTCTTTTGGGATGGCGCCCCAGAGTTACCTCCCTTGACCGGATGTTTAAGTGTTGACATCGTCATGTCGCGGAGTCTCCAAGCGATATCGAGAAAGATATAAGTGGTTAATGATACATCTATGCTTTGCTGGAAAGTTCTAGAATCTGTGCGAGTATATATAAAGGCTGGCTGTTGTGTGGTGCGACACAAGGACTGACACAAGGACTGACACACGGAATTACACGGGACGTTTCATGTCACTGGAGTTGCCTACCATCGTTGTTTGCCTTCGTCAACATAGTCTGACCCCGACACTTCGTGCCTGACTGATCTTATTTGTAAACAAGCTTCATTTAGAATATGTGATCGCACTGTATTTACAAAGGCTCGTGGTGAGTTGATATTTTATATTTGTGACTCAAAACTTTAGATTTGTGACTCAATCGTATTGTACTAGAAATCTGTATTGTGATTTATTGTATCATTGCATATTTTAGACTTGTCTGTGTTATATTTTGCTGGTTCAAAGGGGATTCTTAAACCTTTTGTCACGGCAATTTATTAACCGTAAAAATTATCCGAAATGTTGTTGTTTCTTTGCAGTTGTGAAGATGGATGTCGGATTCTGGAGACTTTTACTCCTGTGCTGTATACCCACAGTACACGCCCAGATTGTCAACTCAACACTCGGACAGGTCAGAGGGCAAACAACCACAGTTCTAGGGAAAAACGTTCACGTATTTCTTGGAATACCATTCGCCAAACCACCAATTAACACCCTGCGGTTTAAACATCCGGTTCCTGCAGACCCTTGGTACCCGGAAGTGAAAAACGCGACCACACAAAAAGCTTCTTGTTTTCAATATATACCACATAAACCTAACCCTCTGGAACAGATACCGCCGTTGGTTAACGAAGACTGCCTCTATCTCAACATCTTCGCTCCCCCACCCAACCCACACAGTACCCCGAAGGCTGTAATGGTGTATCTCTACGGCGGAGCATTCACAAGCGGCTCCATTAACGCCCCGATGTTTGATGGAAAGATTCTCGCCTCCGTCAACGATGTCGTTGTTGTTACCGTCAACTACCGTGTTGGTGTGCTGGGCTTCCTGTACCTCGACGCCAACACCGTCCCGGGGAACATGGGTCTCATGGATCAGACACTTGCCATTAAATGGGTGCACGAGAACATTCAGAACTTCGGCGGAGATTCCAACAGGATTACCTTATTTGGACAAAGCGCTGGTGCGGGATCGGTGAGCCATCATTTATTATCTCCCCTCTCTCAACCATTCTTCACGTCAGCAATCATACAAAGCGGGTCACCATTAACGTCATGGGACCTTCTCGCGGACAAAGAAGCCAAAACAAATGCGATTGCAATAGCTAAAAAGGCAAACTGCAGCTCCATGCATACAAATGCGGAAATATATGAGTGTCTCAATGAACAGAAACCTGAGTCTCTGATTATACTACAGAACGGCTTGGTCCAAGGAGCCAACGTTGCGTTTGGACCGGTCGTGGACGGTACATTCCTCCCAGAAAGACCGCTCGCCATCTTGGAAAAGGGAGCAGCGAAAAACGCCAGTGTTCTATTGGGTGTCACTCAGAATGAGGGCGCGCTTTTTCTGTACTATGGACTTCCCTCCGTGTTTAAGTGGCGGAATAACCTCACCATTACGAAAGAAGAGTTCATGTCTAACCTTGAAGCTCAGGGAAAGATACAGGGTGGGTCGAACGCGACCGTCGAGACTCTTTATCAAGAGTACGTGCTGTCTCGCGTTGAGTCTGAGCGGGACTACGTGAACATAGCTGACAACGTCCTTGGCGACTACAGCTTCAAGTGTCCCGTAACAAGATTTGCTGGGTTCCTGGCAAGGTCAAATCCAACATATATGTACTCATTCAACCACAGACTGCTGTCAGCCAAGGAGCCCAACTGGATGGGGGTCAAGCATGGAGGGGAGCTGCCCTTAGTTTGGGGTCACGCCCTAGACCCGAACGTGAACTTGACCTTTACAGGCGATGAGAAGACGTTAAGCCGGGTTATGATGTCATATTGGACCAACTTCGCAAAATTCGGGTATGTAAGAAAATTTCGTATTATTGTGTGCGTGCGTGTATGCATTTGCGCAGCTCTACGCAATATTCCAGCTATATGACGGCGGTCTGTACAGGTAATTAGACTTATTTATGCAAAAGGGGTGTCCGACATTCCCTTCACTTTCACTGTTGGCAAATTGGGATGCAGGCAAATTGTCACCAAACCAAATATTCGAGTCTGAACCAGACAACCCAGTGTTCAACAGCATGAACATCCATCTACTCGTCAACGAAGTCAGCGGATATATCCACCCGATCCCGTCAGTTGCCTCTTACAACAAACATCAGTTGCTGAAGACCAATTCTACCCCGAATCTTCACGAGTTAATAGTAATTAATGTATGGTTTAGACTTTATGAATGCTTCTTTCAGCGACGTTCAGGTATTCTTCGAGGCCGTAATATGGATCTAGTGGAACAATTGGCAACAACATTTTTAAGCAGATTTTTTTTCCGTTTAGAGCTGCCAGAATCTCATGATGATACGCCAAAATCGCTCTGATTCTCCCAGTTTGGAATATTTACAGGCGGTCTGGTGTATTAATGAGTGTGTTAGCAAATAACAATTTACAATTTTCTAGAAATGCGGGTGTTCTCCCTAGTAATATGTTTTGTCAGCTATTTCACAGTGTTCACGCCGAAGACCCGGGTTCGATTCCCCACATGGGTAAATTGTGTGAAGTCCATTTCTGGTGTCCCCGGCTGTGATATTGCTGGATGTTTGCGTAAAACTTGATTCACTCACTCACTCTTTTGCTGGTGTGTAATGATCACGTGAAATATCATTTTCAATTTAAGGGATCCAAATGGCGAAACCAGCAGTCTCACCCAGTGGCCTCGCTTTGATAATCTGCGCGAGCGCTTCCTACAGCTGGACGTAGGCAGTAACCTAGCAACCGGCCAGGGATTGCGGCGCAGACAGTGTGTGTGTCTCTACCAGACAGTGCCTCTGGTGGCGTCCCTGGGTAAGCTTGTCTTCTCACGTATTTGTGCAAAAGAGGACGTCGGACACATCAGGACGCAGATTTGAAACAACTTACATATTACGGACATACGACGGGTTGGTCATTCATCACAGTAGGATTAGAGAAAATCTCTGAGAGTGTCTCCGAGAAATATTCTTCTAAAATATAATGTGTTTCTGCATTTCTGGAGATCATGCTCACGCAAGTCATGTACAGGAGACGGAGCCGGGTCATGAGCATCCTTTTACTGCGCGCAGATGTATAAAAAACATTTCACCTATTGCCTTCAAAACTTACGATCGAATAACATGACGTAGCGTAAAGTGACGACGTGTTTTGGGGTCGGAATATTGCTGGAAGATAACATAAAATCATACTGACTCACTTGCTCACCCTCGCATTCATCCTCACAGTTACTAATTAGGTTAGCTAAAATCAGTTATATTTAAGGTGCTCTTTTACGGTCTGTTTAGGTTTGCATGCATTCTTTGACCGTTTTGATATGGGTTAGCGTATTTTTCAGCAACCATTCTGTCTTGTATTGGGAGACTAACAGGTTCGGGTGGTCATGCTCACCCACTTTGTTGATACGCAGACCTGTGCTCATGATGCCCGTCACTGGATTGTCTGGTACAGACTCGGGTTACAATTGTCCGTTACTAATGGAATATTGCTCAGTGTGGCGTTAAACAAGGATCAAACAAGCAAGCCTGTAGCTCGAGATCTGTCTTCATATAATCGATGGCCCGTCAGTCACCTAAGCTGTCCAGATTTATCTCCCTTTAATAAAGCTTCGTAAACCGCCTTATCCCACATGTCTGCTCAGTTTTTACTGCACTATTAAATTGGTTTGTGGTTGTCGACCAAACTATCGTGTGACTGGCATTATAAGCATCCATAACCGCAAATCAGATACGATGGCATGCATAAACAAAGTCTCTTCCACCTCGTCGTTTGTCAAATAGAACCGTCCGAAATCGCCTCAAAATGGTTGGGTGTAGAGCCATACATTCTAGTAGATGTCCGTTGATATCCCCAGAGCAACAACACAGCACGATCACGACATGCTTTAATCCACAATATCTGGAACAACAAAACAAACAAATAGACTACGGCAAGGTATCTCGGGGCGGCGCGCCCTATAGAACCAGCAATAGTGTTTACTATATACACATCCGTACATGCAAGTCACTTTATGAGTGCAATAATCCAGAAGGCGACAAAAACCTCATTTCACTTGAATCCACTAATGTGTTTTATCCGACTTGTTTATTAACTATACCATGTGTGTATTTTCGGTGTCACCTGTCTACTTAGGGGATAACTGTACTGTGTTTGGGGACGTATACCGGTGGTTATATAGCCGCAGATTTACCGTTATACCGGCTCCCCAATTCGTCAAACACAGTACAGATATGCCCATTCTTATTCTGCTCGTTTTACGCTGTGTTTTTTCGTAAAGGAAATTCATTATTTAAACCAGGTCAAAGTTCCTCTAGGTCAAAGGTTAATCATATCACTCCTTGAACTTACACCATCGCCAGAAAAAGTAGCTCCATTTCAAATTTCAACACGTTTATTATGTGCACACTGACTAAATCTGACAATGATGAATAAATCATAGTGTTATAGCTAATATAGACGGAATTATCATGAAACCGCCCTCTAGTTATCAGAAATGAGCGGGCCGCTGCAAATGGCCCGCTGATTCCTCAACGGCGGGGCATGATCAGTTCTGTTGTCAAATGACGTCACAGCAGGTGATGTCACGCTCCATAATGACGTCATAAATCTTGTTTCATGATCTAACAGTGTTGGGTCAACAGTCCGTTGCGAGTAAGTTGTTTCAACATACAATTAAGAGTGATAGGGGAGTTATTTGACCCGATCACAATGCCCTGAAAAACAGCGTTACCCCAATAGTGTAGGGATACATACAAAGGTTTTGGTGAATCGGTTTCCAAACTGCGACCGTATATGCTGATTGTACGGTCGGAAATTCATAGCACTGACCAATCAGAACTCGTGTTACATACTAAGTTAAATTAGAATGTTTGTTTATTGACCATGTATTTATTTCCTCCACAGAGCAACGTGAGTCTAAGGCCGACACAACCAGTGAGCCGTGCATCGGTCCTGTGAACGGTGACACCAGGCCGACACACGCCCACACAGTTCTGACGACCGCGTTATTAGTTGTGTGGATAGCAGCACAAGTATATAATTAGTTGCGAACAGAGAGGCAGCTAGCACAAAATGTAGAAACCTTGTACTCATATGGTTAGAGAGCCAATACATAGTTGTTTGGCGGTTCCTTCCATGCGACGTGCGTACGCGCATGTGAGTGTGTGTGCGTTTATGTGCTGTGTTTTTGTTTGGGAATTGTTTTGGCCTATGTTTTTTTTCTTTTTTTATTCAAATTTTGGAGGAGGGATAGGGATTCTTGAATATATACAATTCGAACGAAACCGATTATGCTTCTTGGTACAGTTCACTTGCGTATGATGACGTATGATGACGTATGATGACGAATGATGACGTATGATGACGAATGATGACGTATGATGACGTATGATGACGAATGATGCGTATCCAACGCAACTACTGAGCATTTGACTACAACGTTGTGCACATGGTGGTTTCATATGTTGTACTCCGCCAGCTGTGTTCCTGGCCACACGTAACCATGGGAACAACAGTGCCGTGAACTGTACCATTTTGAAGACATTCCCCACGGAGTTCAGCCTCTTCTACTGAGGACGTCGCCGATATAGATATACCAATCTTGGAATATAGCGGACCAACCCTTTCTTCCTTTATTTCTTAATAGGTCGGACAATTTGCATCGAAATCTAATTCTTAATATCTCATTCTTTCAAATTCAGAATGATGAATGCGCTCTTGACTGCTTGTTAGCAGGTACTGACGGATGATATTCATCATAATTAATATACATCCCTCCCTACCTATCCATTACACACCCACACACTGACGGATGATATCCATCCATACACCCACACACCTCCCCTACCTACCTACCCTCCCTCCCTACCTGTCCATCCACACACCCCACACACCTACCTATCCACCCTCCCTATCCATCCACACACCCACACACCTACCTACCTACCTACCCCATCCCTCCCTACCTGTCCACCCACACACCTACCTACCCCTCCCTCCCTACCTATCCATCCACACACCCACACACCTACCTACCTACCCCCCTCCCTCCCTACCTGTCCATCCACACACCCACACACCTACCTACCTACCCCCTCCCTCCCTACCTGTCCACCCACACACCTACCTACCCCCTCCCTCCCTACCTATCCATCCACACACCTACCTACCTACCTACCTAACACCCTCCCTCCATATCCGTCCGCCCACCCTACCACCCAACCCAAGTACTTCCCTACCTACCCCCTACCTATCCAAGCACACACCCACCTACCTACCTACCCTCCTCCCTCCCTTCCGTCCGCCCACCCTTCCACCTCCCTCCCTACCTATATACCCATCTACATCCCACCTACCTACCTACCTACCTACCTATCTACCTACCTACCTACCTACCTATCTACTTGCCTACCTACCTACCTACCTACCGACCTACCTACCTACCGACTATGAGCCTAAAGGGTAGTTGTAGTAGATTATCACGCACATACATTTCTAATGTTAGACGATTGTTGTAACATGTTACATTGTAACTGCCTGTCCATTAAGTTCTCGATGTGTTATCAGTTGTTCTGATTTAGTTACTTTAAAAAACCAAAGTGTATCAGATTTGTCAGACAATGCACCACAATAATGGGAGTTGGAAGATGACGGCAAGCTGGTTCATCCCAACACTCTGCTCGACGACCAGAAGTAGAAACCAATATTGTTGTTTCATTTATGTTCAACAACATTTGTTTATTAAATATTTGTTATAAATATACTGTGTTTGCCATTTTAATAAAACATGCTAAGTTTTTTTTACACTATACTTGATGCCAAGCACCTATTTTTCTTGTCATTATCCGTGAAACATTTAGCTTTGCTGAAAGATCAAAGGCACCGACAGTACTTTATCAGACGATAATGTACACACTCCGGCGCAGTGATGACTTAGCATAACATCACTGCCACTGACTCATTTGCATATCACGTGACCGGACTTTTCTCTTATTTGTAAACAAACGCACACATACGTAAATCAGAAGAGACTGACCTTATGCAAGCTTTTCGGTGCGCCAATATCCGTAAACCGCTCAAAGGCGCTTTGGCTCTAAGATGGTATTGATATCACATAGAGTTCAAATGATTTAGTAACAAGACAAGTCTTTAGATTTGATTTAAAAACAGCTAAATCTGGTTGTGTTCTGAGGTGAGATGGCAGATTGTTTCAGAAATGACGGCCAGCCGTCTCGAGTGACCTGTCACCATATGTTTTTGTCCTAGTCACAGGAACTGACAAAAGACACTGGTCATTTGATGGAAGGGAACGTGCAGGAGTACAGGTGGAACAGATCACGGAGGTACTGAGGAGCTTGACCATGGATACTTTGAAAACAAGGAGTAGATAGAGAATACTACACGAGGTCTCATTACATACGAATTATACGAAACGAGAGTCCTTCCTGTGGTATCTGACAGAGCGAAAGCGAGGTCAGATAACATAGGAAGGTCACGAGTTTCGTATAATTCGTATGTAATGAGACCGAGTGTGGTATTTTAATTATTACCCACGTCTTACATGCATTAAATTGACAAAATAGCGTATTTTTGTTATGTTTTTGGTTTCAAACCGAAACCATTTTCATAAAGAGGTTGCGGAAGAGTTTTGTACTGTAGTGCAATATTTGCATGACGTCACACTGTAATGACGTCACTGCCTTGGTAACCGACGTCACGATGCATGTCAGTTGTCATCGCCTCGTACAGCCTCCTACAGTAAACTACTCCGTAGCACCTCGTTTCTTGATTTCCAGTTGCTTCATTCGGCTAAGATCACTGGTGGAAACATTGCGTTTATGTTTTTCGACGGATATAATGTCTCAGTTCGACTCACAATTAAACAGCGACACGGCAACGTTTGCAATGTTTCCATTCCCACAATGCACTTAAGTTGTAGAATGAATGAATTCACGTGTTTGTTATAAATGAAAAAATAGTTACGTCAGAATGTGACCTAATTGAGAGGTCATCGGTTAGCCAATCAAATCGTTAGAATCTCAGGTCAAGTCGTTACGACACAGGTCAACGCGATACGACACTCGTGTGACGTACGAGATTAGTATGCAACTACCAATACGTTGACCTCGTGGGTAATAAAGTTTTATATTGCATCCGGTAATGGACGGGAAGCCAATAAAGTGATTGAAGAATGGGAATAATATGCAAAACAAAACTTATAGATAACAACTTCTTGATCAATTTTTCACAACGTTTCTGAGCTTGTTTTTTCCCCTTATTCTTCCACCAGAAACGTTAAATCAAATCAAGATGTTATTATCCATAAGATTTGTCTTGTATTACTGCACCAACTTCTAAATGCCTTTGAAGGGAGTAATATGGTCCGATTTCTTTTACTGAGAGACCACTCTGGCTGCAGTATTCTGCACCTTCTGAAGCTTGTGTATAAGATGATTTGAGAGACTCACAAGAAGCGCATTACAGTAGTCTAGACGAGATGTTACATTGTTATATGGATAGTTTTCCATAACTGCGACAGTCAAATTCATGACATTACACATTTATACATAGTTACTGAAATTTTCAAAGGCATTTAGAAGTTGGTGTAGTAATACAAGACAAATCTTATGGATAACAGCTTCTTGGTTTATTTTTCCACAACGTTTCTGGGCTAGCTCTTGCCCCTAGTGAAGAAAGGACAAGAACTAGCCCAGAAACGTGGACAAATAAACCAAGAAGTTGTTATCGGGGCAAGAACTAGCCCAGAAACGTTCTGGAAAAAAAAAAATAAACCAAGAAGTTGTTATCCATAAGATTTGTCTTGTATCAAAGTTACTGCATCACTTGGTCTGCACAAGGTTTCGATGACAGCACGTGGAACCGCACAACCTATGTAAACAAAGGATCGCTACGCAAATGAGTTCCCTATATTCAGTGTTATTTTAGGATGGTGTCCAGATGTTAAAACATTTGAAGAGGGAACTCTTCTTGAGATTTACCACGGATTTGCCGCTGAATATTAGCTACTGGACAGGTGCAGATACATCCCTGGAAACATACTGTTTGCAGCCCTTTCCAGATTCCGCAATGAGATCCAATAAGTTATGCTGTAATTGATTCGTTTACATTTATATATACAGACAGATAAGGTGAGCGAAGTAGAGGACATGGGAAATATTGCTTAACTTGGTTTTAGTTACCCTTCTTTTAATTGATCAAAAGATAGAAACCCATGTTTTCAGATTATTAGTTTCACTAAAACTGAACAACGGATAAACACATAAAGTTAACAATCTATTTTTAGATACCGAAGCGATCTGCAACCTGTTCACGGTTGTTGTTGTTGTTGTTGTTGTTGTTGTTGTTGTTGTTGTTTTAAATTAAGATGGGATTTTGAAGAAAAAAATCATGATCAGTTACCCTTCCCCAGCTAATTTCTTTGAAGGACGTGAATTGCCTGATAGATTGCTTCGATAGAAATACGCTTCCCACTCTCAGCAGCTTTATTATACGATATATTATCTGGCATGTAACTCATTTTCACTCGCCAGATGCAATTTGACAACTGAAACATATTTCAAATCAAATACGGATAACTTTCCTTCTTAAATGTCATTCACAAACGACGGATACCAAAGTTCCACAAGCAGAATTCATCAACAACGCAATCACGTTTTGCCGGCGATGGCACCATAGCGATTAATCAATGCTTGACCCCACCAAACATCTGAAACGAAGACGAGAGCTAGTGGGCGGGCCCTATCGGCCGGGACTGGATCGGTTATTGTTGTGCCTATAGAACCAGAGTCGTCTAAATATTTAATGCAAGACAGCTAGTAAAGTAAGTCAGTAGCTGTGACCATGCTTTAGTGGCTGTTTGATGAGAACAGAATCAGCATGTCGCTGATCCACAAAGTTGCTGTCGTGATTTTTGTCCTGAAGTTCCATTATTGTCAGAAGTGTGTCAATGAGAAAGTCGGACCGTTACCCGCTTTCGATAATGTGGAAGTGCGCGAGTACGTATTGTGGGAGGTTTCTTTAGGGAAACTGGATTGTTTAGGAAAATGTTTCCATGATGTTCGTTGTCACAGTTTCCAGACTCTGGGTTCTTCTGGAAGGTGCATAGGCCATGCTACAGCGTTTGCCAGTCCGGACAAGATCTACTCACCCACCCTTGCTTCCCTTGGAACAAGGATGTATCTACTGCCTCGAGGTGAGGAAAACATCCTTTATTGAGGGGGTGCCCAGGTACAAATGACGTGAGGATGTCAGGTACGGGTGTGAGGTACGGGATTTGAGGTACGGAGTGAGAAGTATGAGGAGTGGGGTACGGAGCTTGAGGTACGGGGTGTGAGGTACGTAGCTTGAGGTACGGGGTGTGAGGTATGGAGCTTGAGGTACGGGATGTGAGGTACGTAGCTTGAGGTACGGGGTGTGAGGTACGGAGCTTGAGGTACGGGGTGTGAGGTACGGAGCTTGAGGTACGGGGTGTGAGCCACGGAGCTTGAGGTACGGGGTGTGAGCTACGGAGTTTGAGGTACAGGGTGTGAGGTACAGAGCTTGAGGTATGAGGA